AGAGAGAGAGAGAGAGAGAGAGAGAGAGAGAGAGAGAGAGAGAGACCATTGAAGGGGAATTTGGTGTTAGGTGGGTAGCTTTGCTGGCGAATGCTTGCCTTGCCATCCTTTCCCATTAAGAAGAGATTTGAAGATTTTCATTTAATTTGGGGGAACAAACTTCATAAAACGTATATTCCTCATGTACTTGTATTGATGTAAGTATAATATATGTATCTATTTACTCATTGTTGGTTTTGGAAAGTGCAAACACTTACTTCTGATCATGTATTGACGACTGTTATTATTATTACTAAAAAGATTCCGTAGCATCCATGACATTTGCCAACATAACCCCCAAGATTATATGTATTATTAATAATGGGGAAATTAATACTAAGATTGATGAGACCAACTCAAATATTCAACAAGGTGGTTTATTTACAAGTATCATTTCATTCAAGTATTTTATTAAAAAATAACAAAGTAGCCATATTTAGTGTTTGCAACCCAAATCAAGCTAGGTAGTAATTTCCAGTGTTATCATATTCACTTTAGAGTGCTCTTCAGATGTATTGTATTATTAAAACTAAAACATATAAAAACGTGTGATTTGTATGAGATAGCAACCTGATTCATCAAAGTAAGGCGGAGATGTATTATACTGTCTATTTTAGTTGGATGGTTTAGATTTGATTCGTATTTTGAAAGTGTCAAAAAATGGTGCGTCTTTTAAGATATTGTCTAATCTACATTGTGTAAATAAAATGGGTGGTACTACAGCCTTATTTTTAAGTGAGGTTGTAACCTTATATTAACTTTTTCTAGAAAAATATGTATGATCTAGCACTTATGTGAATTTTTTAAATATTTGTATACTATGAGATTATTTACCATTGTTCCAAAGAAGTCGACATCACTTCTAGTAAATTAAATATTAAATCGGATGGCTTGAGGTGTGTCATGAAGTTCATGAAGTTTTTTTTGAAATTTGAGTTTAGTAAATGACGCAATCGTCTGATTTTAAATCAAACGGACAAGAGTGATTGTGACCTCTTTATATTAAAGTAAATTGTCTCTTTTTGTATACTTGCAATTTTTTAATTTTTCTTAAAATAATGTTAGGGCAATATCTTAAGAAGTTATGACTGTAATGTGCTATATTTTTGGAGTTTTGTATATTTTATAAGGAGTATTTTTTAAATTTGCAAAAAGTTTATATGGAGACGATGCTCTAAACCATCAAATTAGAGCCCACCTAAAAAATTTCACTAGAAGACGTTGTTTTGATGCTCAAATAAGTTTTAAATTATATAATTAGATATGAAAATATATTTTGAAGTTTCATAGATCTGCTCGATCTGCACTATTTTTTAAGTTTTAAATTATATAATTAGTTATAAAAATATATTTTAAGGCTTTCACAAAGATTTCCAGTATTAAAACCACATTTTTCAACAATATTTGAAAGTGGGCCTTACAACGATTGTTTACAGCCTTGGCTCTATAGAAACCGCACCCTATAAATTTGCTAATATGTTTATTTTAGTGGGGGAGTGATTTGCATGACTTCAGTTTAGGGCCTGAAGCTAAAGACTTCGGCCATCTTGGGGCAGGAGAAGAGGATCTGATACCATTGATAATTTCAAAATAGCCACACTTCTTCAAATTATAAACTCAAATAAAAGCATTTGGCACATTTTAAAAACGCTTGAGGTGGTATTTCGAGTGAAATAATATCAAATAATTTATTGACTAACTTGGTTAGTGATTTTTGAGGTGGCTAGATCATTTTTATGATATATTTACCCTTAATAAAGCACAATGGGCATAAATATCTTCTTCCAAATTTGACATTGAACCGCTATTTCAAAACACTACACACATAACGTCGTCGGGTAAGGGGCAAAGGGCACGACCAGGGGGATAAGG